ATTTTTGCCCCTAAATTTCTGTGTTTCCTTAGACAAGTCCTTTCCCTTTCCTTTTTTTTTTTTTTTTTTTTTTCCTTGCGTTACGCGGGCCTCTCACTGCTGTGGCCTCCCCCATTTGCGGAGCACAGGCTCCGGACGCGCAGGCCCAGCGGCCATGGCTCACGGGCCCAGCCACTCCGCGGCACGTGGGATCCCCCCGAAACGGGGCACGAACCCGCGTCTCCCGCATCGGCAGGCGGACCCTCAAGCACTGCGCCACCAGGGAAGCCCTTCCACCTATTTTTGTAAATGAAGTTTGACTGGCACGCAGCCACACCCATTCGTTCATAAACTGTCTGTGGTTGCTCTCATGCCACAAAGGCAGATCTGAATAGTTTTGACAGACACCACATGGCCCCCAAGTTCTGAAGTATTTACTATCTGACCTTTTACAGAAAAAGATAGCCAACCCCTGCTACAGATACTAGAGCCCATTGGAGGGCATGTTTTTAAATGCATTTAAAGAATAGATATGTAATTCCATTTTGACACTTCAAGTAGCAGCGGGCTCCCTTAGATACCTAAACTTCATATTTAAAACTCCCCAGCTCATCTGGACCTTCCCATTTGGGGTGAGGGGAAAGCAATTCACTGATATCGTACCTGTGGTGCCCTAAGCTTTTTAAAGGGTGTGAGTGAGAGGTACACCCAACATTTAAGTCCCCAGTTCCTGTCTAAACTTGTGGTTAGTCTAGCTATACCAAAAGAAAAAAGAAAAAAATCCAAAATACACTGGGCCTGGAAGAATGTTCTTCAGTTCACCAAATGTGACTGCAGCCTACCCGCTTTGCCGAGATTTACGCACTCACTCCTCGGCCCTGACACATTCCCACACTCTGTTTGTTCCCTGTGCCCCTCCTGGGTCCCTGGTACCCCTCCTTCTCACCCACTGGATGCAGACGCACAGGTGTGAAGGCAAACAAACAAAAATTCCTCATCTCCTTTAAGCTCTGCTCAAACCTGGACTTTCCTGTGAGGTCTTTCCCAGCCCTTCCACCTAATAGTGTAAATCCCTGTCCTCTACTCACACTGCCGGCCCCTTCCTTGCTTTTTGTTCCCTCCTTAGCAGTTATCATTACTTAACACGCTACATTCTTTATTTACCCTTGTTTATTTTCTGCCCCTACTAGAGTATGATAGCTCCATTTGTTAAATGAATGAGTAAATAAATCACTGAAATCCCAGATAAAGAGGAAAAAACTAGCAAAGAATTAACATAGTGCCGTTCACTCTTTGGAATGAACCTTCTAGGCAGGAATTTGCTACCAGTAGGGAACAAAGGTGTCTTAGCAGTCGCTGGGGCCAGCCTTTCTGGCTCTCCTCTTTAAGGTGAATAGTGAGGATGGTGAAGTCTTCTGGGATTCCTTAAATGTTCCCCACATGCACAAGAAGTCCCTGGCAGTGTCTGTAGGGCCCAGCACGATTCCTTCTCCCAGAATTTTTCTTGATTGTTAACGAAACAGTAGATACCTCTTCAAAGCTGTTGTGCCCTGGTTGATATCTGTGATTCGTAGGAATTCCTCCTCAGTGAGGGGACATTGGGCTTCAGAGGATTGTGAAATATTGTTTCTTAGGTCACCGCTTTCTCACTGTCTGCATCAAGGGTAGAGATGTTCACTCTCAGAGGTGTGAAATCAGAGGTGTGTATGTGAGCGCACAGATAGACTCAGGATTGTGGGAATCTTTGCTTTGATTCTTTGATGTGGAGTATTTTACCATCAAACGTCTCTATAAATATGTGTAGCTTTTATTGATCATATCTCTATACTTACTGTGATCAAAAGAGCTCATTAGACTGCTCTAAATAGAAACTCAGTGGTTACAATTTAGCATAGAATTTAAAAGCCTAAGATTTTTTTAGCTCGGGGGTCCTGGTTAGTTTCAAATCTTGTAAGTTTTACAATTTGGCGAAAATTACTTAACCTTCCTAACCTTCAATTCCTTCTATATTATATTTATATATACTATATATTACTATAATATCAACATAATGTATCCTAAGTATATATTACAATAATGTATCATAAGTATGAGTTATATATAATAATAATATACTGTGTCATATATAATAAATATACTAGATTGTATTATTATATAGAGGAAGTAACTAAAAAGCCCTTGGCACATTGCTGGTACACGGTAGGCTATCAATATACGTTTACCCTCCTATGTCTAGTGTGCACAATGGCAATTAGCGGTAGTTTTTCCTGTTACTGAGAAAGAAAAACCGAAAAGTTCCCATGTGTTCCCATAAAAGAGAGGAGGCAGGACCCTTGAAGCATCCTTCCACATAGTTTTCTTTGCATCATTTTATGGGATCAGATGACCTAGCAGTTACTCCAGATTTTGATGTTTGCAATTGACTGAATAAATCCACAGTTAAGTAAGAGTGGATTTGATTTTAGGGATTGAGAGCCCATTTGGGAACATAAAAACGAAGTTTGCTTGACGTTATGACCGATTGAGAGAGAGGCCGAGGCTTGTGAGTCGTAGATTACTGTGTGACACTTGATGTGCTTCCCCTTGATCTGCAGGGTGACTTCACGTGGAACAGTATGTCGGGTCGCAGCGTACGGCTGAGGTCAGTCTCCATCCAGAGCCTCTCAGAGCTGGAGCGAGCCCGGCTGCAGGAAGTGGCTTTTTATCAGCTGCAGCAGGACTGTGACCTGAGCTGTCAGATCACCATTCCCAAAGGTAAGGCCCCATCTGCCATCACATGGGGGATGCTGGAAGTCACACATCTGCTCTGCCAGGGCCCCAAGCTGCAGAGTCCTCTCAACCCCACTATTAACACAGGAAGGAAGCTGTAGCTTCTGGGTCACTGGCTGGCTCTGGCAACCATTTTGAAAGATGTTTTCAAGTGGGACAGTTTACGTGTCGACTATTATGTGTATTTAAAGGGAAGATCAACTTGGGGCATTAAAGGGGAAAGCCGTGTGTATCTCAGCGGTCTGCGTGGCTTCAGCACAACCACTTAAAAAGAAGTTTCAGAAAGGTCAACTTAAAGGGTTAGAAGAAAAACCGTGTCTGTCTCAATATGATTTCAAAATAAGCAGTTGAAAAAGAATGTTTTAACAATCTGTTAAACTTCTCATTTGACCTTATGCAAACTCAGAATCAGTGATTATACCAGTGTTAACTCATTTTTATCCCGTCTTTCACCTGGCCTGTCTCTGTTGGGGTTCACCACTATGACACTGGAGCCAGTGCAGGCCTGGTTGTCTGATGTTTTTACAAACACAGATCCTGATTCTGGTAAGGATGAGAAGCATGTATTTGAAATCCTTTGATCTGTAAAGCCTGTTTCTGAATGTTGACTATCTTCTATAAAGGTACTTTTTAATGTGTATTCGTGTGTAGCCGTAAGGTAATTGAGGTGAAGTGAAAAGCTGTGATGTTATACAAATAGAGTAAACCTGCCATAAAAACGCAACATTGGCTGCTGTGCCTAAAACTTAAAGGAAAGCAGGAGAGCGATAGCAAGCATCTGAAAGCTAGAAGATTGCCTTGGAAGATTTCAGTATCTTCAGAACTTCTCCTTTGTCTTCTTTTTTTAGGGAGTTGAGGGGATGCTTCATGAATATTCATAAAATCATGCATATCATATATACACACATACACATAGATATGTAGTTCTCAACCAGGGATGGTTTTCCCCCATTCCCCAGGTAAAATTTAGCAATGTCTGGCTCCACTTTCAGTTTTCACAGCTTGGAGGAAGGATGCAGCTGACATCTACTGCATGGAAGCCAGGGATGCTGTTAGACATCCTGCAATACACTGGACAGTCCCCCACAGCAAGCATTGTCAGGGCCCAAGGGCCCAAGTGTAGAGGCTTAGCAACCTTAATACACACATGAACACATGTGCTCGCATTCCGTCAACAGCAGTGTTGGTGGAGCTGTTTTCTTGGCTCACCTGTGTCTGATAGAAAGGGCACTGGCTTGGGAGTCTGAAGACCGGAATATGAGGACTTGTCCGGTCACCCCCTCCCCCCTCCACATGTGAGCTTGGGCAATTTACCTCTGTAGTAGGAGGCTCGGTTTTGTTGACTAGAAAGAGTAGCACAAAGACAGTGACCACACAGAATTTTTTGTTGGATGGTGGCTCTTAGGGCCACTTTTATTCCTTTTTTAAAAAAAATGCAAGTGTAGTTGATTTACAATGTTATATTAGTTTCAAGTGAACATCATAGTGACTCAGTAATTTTACAGATTATACTCCATGAAAAGTTATTACAAGATAAGACGTGGAGAGTGGACTTGAGGACACGGGGAGGGGGAGGGGTGGGCTGGGACGACGTGAGAGAGTGTCATAGACATATGTACACTACCAAACGTAGAATGGATAGCTAGTGGGAAGCAGCCACATAGCACAGGGAGATCAGCTCGGTGCTTTGTGACCACCTAGAGGGGTGGGATAGGGAGGGTGGGAGGGAGAAGCAAGAGGGAGGGGATATGGGGATATATGTATACGTATGGCTGATTCACTTTGTTATACAGCAGAAGCTAACGCACCACTGTAGAGCAATTATACTCCAATAAAGATGTTGAAAAAAAAAGTTATTACAAGATAATGGCTCTAATTCCCTGTGCTGTACAATACATCCCTGTTGCTTATCTATTTTATACATAGTACTTTATATCTCTTAATCCCTTACCCCAGTCTTGCCCCTCTCCCTTCCTGCTCCACACTGGTAACCACTAGTTTGTTTTCTGTATCTGTGAGTCTGTTTCTGTTTTGCTATATACATTCATTTGCTTTAGTTTTCAGATTCCACATATAAGTGATATCATACAGTATTTGTCTTTCTCTGTCTGACTTATTTCACTAAACATAAGATTCTCTAAGTCCATCCACATTGCTTCAAATGGCAGAATTTCATTCTTTTATGGCTGAGTAATATTCCATTCTATATATATATATACCACATCTTATTTATCCACTCATCTGTTGTGAATACTTCAGTTGCTTCCATATCTTGGCAATTGTAAATAATTCTGCTATGAACATTGGGGTGCATGTACCTTTTTAAATTTTTTTTCCAGATATATACTAGAGTGGAATTCATGGATCTTATGGTAGTTCTATTTTTAGTTTTCTATTTTTAGCAGCCTCCATACTGTTTTCCACAGGGCTGTACCAATTTACATTCCCACCAACAGTGTAGGAGGGTTTCTTTTTCTCCGTATCCTTACCAACATTTGTTATTTATAGACTTTTTGGTGATAACCATTTTACAGGTGTGAGGTGATATCTCATTGTGATTTTGATTTGCATTTGCCTGATGATTAGCGATGTTGAGCATCTTTTCATCTGCCTCTTGGCCATCTGCATTTCCTCTTTGGAAAAATGTCTATTCATGTCTTCTGCCCATTTTTAAATTGGGCTTTTTTTTTTTTATGTTGAGCTGTTTTTATATGTTGGACATTAACCCCTTATTGATCATATCATTTGCAAAAATTTTCTCCCATTCCATAGGTTGTCTTTTCATTTTTGTCAGTGGTTTCCTTTACAGTGCAAAAACAAAAAGTTTAATTAGGCCCCATTTGTTTATTTTTACTTTTATTTCTTTTGCCTTAGGAGACAGATCCAAGAAAATATTGCTACGATTTATGTCAAAGAGTGTTCTGCCTATGAGCTTTATGATTTCAGGTCTTATAGTTAAGTCTTTAATCCATTTTGAGTTTATCTTTGTATATGGTGTGAGGAAATGTTCTAATCTCGTTCATTTACATGTAGCTGTTAAATTTTCCCAGCACCACTTATTGAAGAGACTGTCTTTTCTCCATTGTATATTCTTGCCTCCTTTGTCAGAGATTAATTGACCAGAGGTGTGTGGGTTTATTTCTTGGCTCTCTCTATGTGTCTGGTTTTGTGTCAGTACCACGCTGTTTTGATTACTGTAGTTTTGTAGTATAGTCTGAAGACTGGGCGAGTGATACCTCCAACTTTGTTCTTTTTTCTCAAGATTGCTTTGGCAACTCCAGGTCTTTTGTGCTTCCATATACATTTTTGGATTATTTGTTCTAGTTCTGTGAAAAATGTCTTGGGTATTTTGATAGGGATTGCATTAAATCTGTAGATTGCTTTGGATTGTATGGCCATTTTAACAATATTAATTCTTCCAATCCAAGAGCACAGGCTATTTTTCCATTTCTTTGTATCATCTTCAATTTTCTTCATCAGTGTTCTACAGTTTTCAGAGTAAAGGTCTTTCATCTCCTTGGTTAAGTTTATTCCTAAGTATTTTATTCTTTTTGATGTGATTTTAAATGGGATTGCTTTTCACATTCTCTTTCTGATAGTTTGTTATTACTGTGTAGAAAAGCAACAGATTTCTGTATATTAATCCTGTATCTTGCAGCTTTACTGAATTCATTTATTAGTTTTAATAGTGTGTTGGTGGAGACTTCAGGGGTTTCTTATTTATTTATTTATTTATTTATTTATTTATTTATTTATTTATCTGTGGCTGTATTGGGTCTTCATTGGTGCACACGGGCTTTCTCTAGTTGCAGTGGGCAGGGGCTACTCTTCGTTGCGGTGTGCGGGCTTCTCATTGTGGTGGCTTCTCTTGTTGCAGAGCACAGGCTCCAGGCCCACGGGCTCAGTAGTTGTGGCTCATGGGCTCTAGAGCACCAGCGCAGTAGTTGTGGGGCATGGGCTTTGTTGCTCCGCGGCACGTGGGATCTTCCCGGAACAGGGCTGGAACCCGTGTCCACTGCATTGGCAGGAGGATGCTTTAACCACTGTGCCACCAGGGAAGTCCCTAGGGCTTTCTATATAAAGTATCATGTCCTCTGCAAATAGTGACGGTTTTACTTCTTCCCTTCCAATTTGGATGCCTTTAATTTCTTTTCCTTGTCTGATGGCTGTGTTCAGCACTTCCAATATTGTGTTAAATAGAAGTGGCAAGAGGGGCCGCTTTCCTTCTTTAAGCTGGAATCTCGGACTCTGCTGGAGGTCATGAAAGAGTTCAGGAGAAGGGAGAGGTAGCTTAGGCCAAGAGGCTGGTGGACAGGCACATTTCACTGACTGATGCCTGGCTCCCTTGGCTTTCTCATCATGTGCTACTTGACACCACAACCACAGCCAGTTCCTTCCAAGAGGAAATTCCTACCCCTGTTATATCTTTTCATACTAATGTAACACAGAGATCCTCAGGTCAAGTAAGAAGAAAATCCCTTTGGCAATGGGTGAAAAATGAGTGCTAATCACCATCAGGCCAGGTTTCTGCTTCTCCCTAAGACCTTCTCATTCTGCCTCATCTTGGTTTGGTTTTAGGGTGGAGATGAGGCCTTCCCTCGCCTCCCCGTTAACTCACAAGGTGGCCCAGGTGGGGCCCAATCGTCCTGTGTCCCTTTTACAAGAACAGATGTTCTTTCAGTTCCTAAGAAAAATTTTTAATAGAAATGTTTCTGGCAAACCAAATTTATAGTGAAGGGAATGATGACTCTAAAAAGTTATGTGAAAACCAGATTGGGTGCACATCAGATGAGATACCAAGGAAAAAATATTCTTTGTAGCTTTGTTTTTAAATCCAGTTAATTTGATGTTTCTCTTTGTTCTCGCTTTTTATAGAGTCCACTAAATAAATAACCTTTACCAAACAGAGAATTTTACAAAACTTATCTGCTAGAAGCTCTGTCTCCATTGCTTATTTATGAGACTATGTTGGTCCTAGTACATTC